AGCATCACATATCTAAACTTTGGCTCAGAATCTAGGTCATTGCGAAAAGGAATGACTAAAGAATATCCAAAATACAGGTGCAGCTACAATTCAATTACATATTTTTTCCTTTCTGTGGGGTGTGTCTTTGATCTCACAGCTGAAAGATGTGTACTTTAAATTTTCCACAAAGAAATGCCACCACATTAAAGAACTCTCGGAATTCCTGGGACCTGAACTGTAGCAATAGCCATGCTATCTTCAATGGCCTTTCATAAGTATGTTATGTACTTTCATCTCCCGATTGTCAGTTCTCAACAGTGGGCAGAGCCCATTAATAAGGGAAATGAAAACAATCATTTGGATACAAAGCCATGAAAGAAGAATCATATAAAATAGGCATAACTAGCATCTTCTAAGAATGACATCTCAGGGTTTGAAGAAAAGAACAGGAGATACAATCATGCATTCTACTGAGAATCTAAATGCTTCTTCCCTTGTTTCTTTTTTTGTTTATTTGCATTTTTTTTTGCTTTTTATCATTACATTTACTTTTGCCCAAAGGAAGTCAACAAAACAAAAAACAAGTATGATCTAAATAAAGAACAGAAATTTTTGAAACCAAACTGCTGATTTTCAGCCTACTCATTTCTCTAGGTGTAGAAATGTGCATTTTCTTTCTAGTTCTTTTTAACAGTTCAATGAATGGTCATAATTTATACAAAATTCACAGATGGTCTTGGGAGTAGTAAAATTTCAGATGTTACTACTTCCTGGCATATGGAACACTACTGTGGATCAGCATGTTGGCAGCATTTAAATGATTTTAAAAATTATTTATATATTAACATCTTGGCATCATTTCACAGTCATAGGTTATTACCACTTTAAATTGTCTGGTTCCTGATGAGAAGTGGTTTTAAAATGGTTTCTAAACTGTTGTAAGTAATGAAGGACTGGTGGTTTTGTGTTAGAAGACAGCATCCCTTTGGGTATTGAAAATAAATAGGATACTCTAATAAATTAAAGACTGGCAAAAATCATAAATATTGTCTAATACAATATGTGATATGGGAAGAGTATTCTAAGATTTTGCTTAAAAAAAAGACAAATTTACTACAGCAGGGTTTAAACTATGAATGCTATAAAAATGTTATAAAAATGAATACATACATATAGAAACAGATAAAATGTAACCTTAAAAAGTAACTAGTATGTTTTATGTTTATTTTTATCTTCCATATTTTAACCTGTAAAGAATCCTATCTAGTCTGTGCCTAGTTTCAATATTTTTCCACATTTCTTAATAATATTTATTTATTTAGTGTATATGGGTATTCTATCTGCACGTATACCTACATGTCAGAAGAGGGCATCAGAGCTCATTATAGATGGTTGTAAGCCATCATGTGGTTGCTGAGAATTGAACTCAGGACCTCTGGAAGAGTACCTTTAACTGCTGAACCATCTCTCCAGCCCCCAGTTTCAGTATTTATAATACCCTCTGCCCCAAATGACACATGTCATCTTTGACTGAGACTGGTTCTTACAAATATTGGTCAACCCTTAATCCTCACATTTGTTGATTGACCAGCTGAAATTGATTCCTCACAGATCCTTCTTAAAACTCTGGACAGCTAGTTTTCTTTCTTACACACTTTAGGTTTCTGCTGCTCTTTAGTTAGCTTGCCTGTCTCCTTGAGAGCTAAGCCCTGTATCTTTTCCCTTCGGTCTAGACACATTCCCTAAATGATGTCAGTTTCTAACATTGGAATATGAAATATGAAATGCCTGCTGAGTCTCACAGGCATAAGGATAGACAACTTTATATTAAGGAAACTGGAGTGACTTCTGTCAGCAATTTGAGCCTACATCCATCAGACATGACATGCTGGTCACAGGCATAGAGTTGAGGAGTGTAAAGTTCTGTAGTGCATATTTCAGGTCCTGCATTGTGAGCTGTGTTCTCTGGTCTAAGTTGACCAATTGAGAGATTATGTAGTGGTAAAGGAATGGTATATCAGAGGTTCATTCAAATACTGGTATTTAATAATGTTAGTTTTCACTCAAAATACATCAAGCCAAAATAGTCCAACAGATGCCTGAGAAGCTAGGATAGATCTTTTTCATCTGCTCAAAGGGAAGGGAGGATTGCATAGTAATGAGTTCTTGTATGTTTACCACAACTTAATTTATTCTCCAGCCTCAACCTCAAGTCTGAATTTCTGACTCATATACCCAACTGCTTATTTCATATATACTTAGATCTTTTATGAGCATTTGAAAATTACCATGTCTAAACCTCAGCTCCTGATATATTCCACACCCCAATCGTCTACATCAATGCACTGCAGTTAATGACACCCACACATTCTGATTTTCTCAGGCCAACCCATAAAGGTATGCCTTGACTCTTCACTTCTTACATGCTGTATCCAACATGGTTGAAAATTTGGGGGGGGGGGTGTACTACTTTACAATATATTCAGTATCTAATTACTTTTCTCTACCCTTCTTTCTAATGGAGTGGTTCAACCCACCATTTATCTCATGTCTAGATAACTTCAAAACTCCCCATTAGTCTACCTACTTTTGAGAAGGCTCATCATTCATAACTTCTGATCTCATAATGACCAACTTCTCCTAAACTTACCTAGGGCAAAATATATAAAATTGTAGTGAGAATTTTGGTCTTTAAATACAGAAAAGTTACAGAAATCTCGTTTTGTTATAATCTCAGGTGTAGGATATAGGGCTGCTTTAGATTGTCCACAGCAGCTGACCATGATTTGCTTCACGCTCTAGCAAGGGGGTGATTTTGCCAGCTGTACATAGTTTCTGAAAGTGTATGACATTTGGAATTCTGGGGACTCTGTAAAGGGTGTATAAATGCTGGAGACCAGCGACAGGTACAGCCTTTACTGATCCACCTGCTGGTAGTGGTTGCTGTTGTTGGGGTTTGTCAAGTGGCCATTAGTAAAGAGGAAGACATTAAATAGCCTGACTGTGAAGATTAAACTTGCCTTGTGGAATTTGATCCCCCTAATCAACAGGAAGTAGTCTAAGGATATTGACATCCCATTTCCCCACTAGCCTTCGTTCGCTCCCACTTAGTGTTGGGTAGTTGGAAAGTTGAAATAAGTGTGGTGAAGGGTGATAGAAAAAAGAACCCACAAAGGAACCCAAAGCCAGTTAAATAAATTATTTGCAATATCTGTAAGGTAATACAAACTGGGCTGTTTGCTGTTTCCAGACATGACATTCTATGACATTCTACTTTGCTTACTCTCCTCAGTCCACTCCGATTTTTCCCTTACTCCTTAGTGAAATGTCAGTTGTCTACCACCTTAGGGTCTAGAATCAACTGCTTTGTGTGGTCAAAATATACATTTCCTGAACATCTGCAAATTTCCCTACTCACTTCTCCCCATATTTTTATTGAGACATTCTCTGATCATCCTTTTAACATTATGTTCCTATGTAACCTCTAATCAATGCCTCTCTACCTTTCTCTATTTTTTTAAAATAATATTGTACATACTATATAATACAGTTATTTTGTTGATTTTGTTCAGGGTACTCACCATAGTTTACCTAATGTTGCATTCTAGGTGCTGAGAATTTTTGTCTTTACTTTCTATTAAATACCAATAGCTGGGCAGGAGAAACATTAGAAAGTTAAAGATAATAACCCTTGAGGCCATCTGAATTATTAAGGCAGGGAAATGGGAACGATAGAGAGCATACACTAATGTGATACAGAACGATTTAAGATTAAAATATTCCTATGTTGATAGTACACAGAACCCAAAGGAACAGTTATCACTAAGCAGACAAATATTCATTCTCAACATCTATTCCCCTGTATTCTTGATTTCATTTCCTCAAGCTAACTTGTCACACAGAGTTTTCACTAGTTTGTGAACTGAATGCTTCTTAAAAGGTGATAAAGCTGTATTACCCTATTCCAGTTTCTAGCCTTACAAACAATTCTGAGATGCTCAAGTGAAGTCAGATCAGTGTTGATGAAAAAGGAAACAAACAAACAAACAAATACAGCAGAACAAACAAATGAAACCCCACACATTTTATTTCCTCCCCTATACATGGCTCTAGCTGGTCCTGTTCTACTCTTTCTGCTGTGTTATCACGCTGGTTGGTTAACTAGTTGCTCAAGACTAGTGTAAGCATTTTGTAGATGCATGTGATAATGTATGCTTTTATTTCTTTAATAAGTTAGCAGTAGTCTTTTCTTTACATAAGCATTGTCTTGTGTCAACCAACTCACAATAGAAGGTATCAACATATATGGCACAAAACAAATATGAAGAGAAAGTACCAAAACACCATAAAGCCACGCAACCATAGAACCAAGGGGAACATGTTGGGCTAAGGTGCTTAGTGAACACTTTATAAGACAAATAGGTGGAAAAGCCACATGGAATTGTGATTGGAAAAAAGACAATGCATCCATATTCTCCACTTAAAACAGTGATTTAAAATCTAATCTACAATTGTGGCACTTTCATTTTGTAATGTGGCATAGTCATAATTTACATAATTAAGAGTGAGATTCCATTTTTCAGAAGCGATACTAAACTATATAGAAGAGGAAAGCAAGTTGAAAAGGAGAGTGAGCTCCAGCAAATCTGTGAAGTAACCTAGGAGATCTTCTGGAGGTATTTTATATAAATGAAATTTGTAGTAATATTAACTGGAGATACATGGAAATGGTTTATGCTTCAAGTAGGCACAATAATTAAGTATATATAGAAGTATGAACTCTTACACTTTAGATTTGGCAATATATTTCCTGACTTTTAGTGGCTTCTAAAGACATTTTCATCCATGTCTACACAAAGAAAATTGAGATATATATTTTTTTAAAAGAAGAATTGATACAGATGGTCAATGCAAGGCTTTATCTCCGAGAACTGACTTCCACATCCTCTTTTTGTGCTTGGGTAAAGATGCACACAGCTATCCTGCAGATGTTCCCTGCCACTGGATTCAGTACTCACAGTGATTCTTTCATCTTTATCATCCAGGGGTGAGCCATCCTTTTTCCAGGAGATGGTGGGTTCTGGATGGCCCCGAGGAGGCTGGCATTCCATTACTGCAGGCTCCCCTACTGCCACCATGACATCTGAAGGGTTTTGTCTGAAGTCATCCCGTAGAACTGTAGGGACAAGATTAAATCATCATACTCAATAATGAAATATGCAGTCCTTATCTCTGAGCTTCAGCAATAGTGACATTTATTAGAATATACTTCCACTCATAGCTATCTCAGGGCAGCTTAAAGAACTCTCATCTATTGCCAGCATTTGCCACTTACAAAAGGTACTTGTCCCGTGAGCACACTCGGAGAGGATTATTTCTTGTTCTTCACAGGCCAGCAAGCATGTGCGCTCTGCTGCTTTTCACCTTCACAGTTAGCATTTCATCTGAATTGCATGAATTTCTGCATACCAACTATATTTCTCTCTTCCATACACTGACTATAACTGAGTCCATTACTCACAGAAAACTTCAAGACAATGCTATCTATCTATTATTATATCAATTACATACAAACAAAAAATATGAATGAAGATATTTCAAAGCATATATTTAAATGATTTAATAGTTAGATTTAGAGAAAACTGTATGAGAAGTATATTTTAAACACAGTCACTATGAAAACTTCACATACACATTTCCCAATGACTTAAAATCAATGTTTTTTATTTAATTGCCAGTGGATAGGAAAAGAGTTAGAATATACAGGTTATAATCAACAACAACATCCAAATTTATGTCCAAAGTTATTTTTGTTAAAGCCAGTATTTTATTAAATCCATAAACCTATTTAGAACAAAATAGACTATTAATCTATTTTTTCTACTGTAAACCCTAAATTTTAAAGGAATAAATTCCTCATGTCATCTCAACTGGACAGTAATACACTATTAGCATACTATGTAATAAAAGGCATTATTTACTTTGTGACTGTAGAGAAAATGCAGGAAATTAAAAAATGTGCTCTAAAAAAAGTTCATATAGGGAAATAGTCCTCAATAGGTCAGTAATCTCAGGAGATTCTGAATTACATATCATTATCAGCAAGCCTTAAATCACAAGCACAGTCTTTACTAGGTAATCTTACATACATTATTTATAGCCTACATTTTAAATTACAAAGCACGGAAGACGACATACACATCATCATAAAGTGCAATAAATGGTTAAGTTTCCCAGACTTATTTTCCTTCATCCTGTGTGGAATAATATGTGAACCGTCTTTGTAAAGTAAATTAAGGGAACACTTAAGATGTTTATTTGTAAGTCGAGCACATAAATCTGGAGTGAACGGTGTTTATCTTTAAAAAAAAAGTACTGAATAGAATTTTAGAACTGTAGTTGTGTATTGCACTGGATACATTTTCACCCATGTGGCTTTTAAAAATGCTTTAATGGAGGAAGAGTTAGGATACCGAAAATTCGTGCTCAAACCATCAGTCAAAATAGAATCAACCTTAAATTTTGCTCTCCTAGCCTCGAATAAACTATCTGTCTCCCAGTAGTTTATACTTTCCCTCCTATCCCTTCTTTCCTTCCCTTTGTTTGTGTTAATCATATTCAAGTAACTGGTGAAGCCATGGTAACCATGCCAAACTGGGTTTATCCTGCATGCTGAAACAACTTCTTCCTATCTTTAGAAAGAATGTTACTTCCTATCTTTGGAAGGAATAGTGAGAGGAAAAGAAACCATGGCTGGCCCCAACTGTTGCAATGGTAACTTTTATACTATACAATCTTAAAATAGCACAGACACAAAGTGCATTTTGTTGAAGTGAAATGTCCTCATCATCTTATTATAAAAATAAACAGAGCTTGAAGGCTTTCACCCTTTCTAAGCTGTACTGTTATTAGGCATTAAGAATGTGAAATAAATAAAATATAAAGTTTATAGAAATGTACTGGCCTTAACAGGCAGCAAACTCCCATACTGGACCATGTTATGAATCAGGGACAACACTCCTGAAATGTTTTAAGACCCCCAAAACACCCAAAAGAAAATACCTTTTAAATGAATGTAAACATGCTTTACAGTTTTTCTAAGTGGCAAACTAAAACAATCTTGATCATACTTTATCTTACTTATAAATGAGGATCATATCTCCAAGAAGACAACACTTGTAATATTTCTTATAGAAATATTAAATATTAAAGGTTTAAGATTAGTTAAGCTGTACTTGCCATATATCAGATGCTTTGGGCTGCTTTTGCAGTGTCTAATAGAAAACTAATAAAGCATAATCCATTAAAGATTGTTGCTTAGATAATGCTCATGTAATTATTTTTGCAGCTGTTAAGTATAAAAATCCAGTAATGCTTATGACTGCAGGCAATGTTTCATAAAAGTATGAATTTAAGACTTTTACTTCTTCTATAAAAATAATATTTCTTACCTATACTTGACTTGAAATTTTCCTTTGGAGGAAAATATTATATGTCATATTATTAAATGACATTATTTTAATTAAGTTGTCCAATTAAAAATCCCATGTACATATGTAAGTAATTAAAAAATTAAATTCAAATGACTGGGAGCATCTTGGTAGAAAAATACCTAAAACCCTTAGGAAGTTGAAGTCACAGATCTTTTAAAAATTTGTCTTTTCCTCCATTTATTCAGGTTACCTACTATGTATAATTACTACAAGATTTTTAAAAATAATTCAACTTTCAAAATAAAGTATAATTTGAAATGAGCAAACAACATTCATACATCTAGTAGGTATCAATTAAGAAACAGCGAGTTGATGTTGGAGAGATAGCTCAGTGGTTAAGAGCACTGACTGCTGTTCAAGAGGTGCTGGGTTCAGTTCCCAGCACTCACATGGTGGCTCACGACCATCTATAATGGGCTCAGGTTCCCTCATCTGGTGTATGTAAAGATACAGCACTCATACACATTAAGCAAATAAATAAATAAATACACAAATATTTTTTGAAAAAAAGTGCTGAACAGGTCAAATCTGCTGTTATGGCCATGGCCTTCCTCTTATGTCTGTGAACTTTAGCTCCTACATAGATGGGCTGATGCACAGTTAGCTCATAAGCGCTCCATGTCTTTCACTTTCTAAAATAAAAAAAGGCATACCAGCAGCCAATTCCCTAAAGTTTGGGCATTCGAAAGTAGTTAACTCTAATAACTCCTTTAAAGCAAAATAAAGCCTATAATTATTTCTGTTTCTGAATAACACTCGACAAGTTTTAGCTAATTTTTTTCATCACATTTCATTTTATTTATGTGTAGGCAAGTGGGTTCATATATGCCATGGTACATATACGTTGGTCAGAGAAAACATCCAAGAGTCAGTGTCATCTATTCCATGTGTGGGTCCCAAAGATTAAACTCAGGTTGCCAGGCTCGGTGTCACTGTCACAGGTGACTTTACTCATTGTATTAATTATAAACAGTGAACAAAATGACTACCAGTATTTTCTGAAAAAAGAAACAAGCTGCACCTGAATCGTATCCACATAACATGGAGAAGCTAAGAGAAAAAGCAAAAAAAATAAGGTTCATATGTAGGGAAGGGTCAGTCTTTGCAGAACACTCTTCAGGAAAACTGCACCAAGCTTTAAAACTGCAAGGAGGAAAATTATTTTAGGACAGGGAGGAGATTGGCTATATCCAATCCTTCCCATTACAAGGAGCAAATGAAGCCCAGGAAGTTTCCTGATAAGCTAAGAAAGGAGAATCCCAACATCAAATGTCTTATTCTTGTTTGTTTGTTTTTTTTCCTTTAAAAATAAAAGAAAACAAAAAAACTACCTATCTCATCTTTGTTCTGTAAAGCACATTTCTCTCTTTGAATTTCCCACAAGTGCATACTCCTATAAATGGTTGTGTATGTCTTCATGCCAGTTCTCCTAACTACTCTGTCCTGGTGCTTTGAAGACCATCTCAGATTCTCTGTATTCCCTAACCACATACTATACAACTATGAACTACATGCCTTCAACTTCACAAACCATAGCCTCTCAGTGCTGTTTGGAACCCTGACCAATGTGCTCTCCAAAGGTCTTGTGTTAGAAATTAATTAAGGACTGGTGAGATGGCGGCCTGGGTAAAGCTGCTTGCTGACAGGCCTGGTGACCTGAGTTCTATCTCTAGAACACAGATGGGGAAATGAGATGCGACTCACATTCGTTGTCCTCTGACCTCCATGCAGAAACAACCCAGACGGTTGTGAGGGAGAAAACAAACAAATAAATAAATATAAAAGGAAGTGCAGTAACTGCTTGGGACTGGAGCAGACCTGAGTTAGGTTCCCCGTACCCACGAACCAACTCACAGCCACTGGTAAAATGGTACTAAACAGGGATCCAAAGCCATTTTCTGGCCTTTTTGGCCTCTGCAGCATCAGTTATATAAATGGTACACAGACATATATGCAGGCAAAACAACCATTTCATAATAAATTGAAATCAACTAAAATCCAAATTTAAAATGAGAATATCAAAACTTAGGACTCCTCATGGGAGAGAAACATGTCACTGAACCAATACAAAATGTAATATAGTGGTAATCTTGGCAATGCAGGAGCTTAGTAATTGCCCATTTCTCACTATCCACTCATGTAATGCTCACAACAAACTCAGAATAAAGTGAGATTACTGTCTTCGTTACACAAAAGGAGAATGTTTAAAGAATCAAGGCCAAGCCTCAGTCAGCTCTCCAGTCACAAAGGAAAATTCTCCACCAAGTGGCTTGTCTATCAGTCTTGTTTGAACACTATTTGCAATTCCAAATACTTAAGTATCATAATGTAACTAATATTTCAGCTTCCTTCCAATGGAACAGAAGTTCACTGAGAAATTTCCCTCCTGACAGTCATATGGTTGTCCTCTTAACATTCTGTCCTCAGATTCTGCCATGTTTGGAAGGGGCCTCTTCCCATTTTGAACAGCACATTGAGAATCAGAATTCATTATCCAGAATACATATGATGTGTTACTTCTCATCAACAGTTTATTTCAACCAAAACCCAACTGAACAGGCTGTATAATAATAAGCATTTTAATTAAACATAGGCATTTTAATTAGAACTGGGTATCTTGGGAGAAAACAAAAGAAGGTAGCCTACAGTCCTGAGATCTATTTTTCTCCACAAAAAAGGAATC